GAACAGGTGCGATTGGCAGTCGCCCTATTTCAAGTAAATCCACCAACCTCATTCTTGCCCTGGATCCCCAGATTTCGATAGAATCCCTCAGCCCCATGGGCCTCCAAGGAAAAGTCCATCCCTGGAAAAGGGCTTCTTCCAGCTTCCCTTGTTGTTTTGGAGGTGCTCTGCGGGTGAGAACCCCCATCTACAGGCTACAAGAAGTATTCTAGATCCCCCAACTACCAATCTGAACCACCAATTCAGGATTCCTGATGCAAGACACCATGGGATTCGTAGGGCACGTCCCCTGGACTCTTTTGGGGGAAATCAGTTTCATTAACTGTTGGTTCCACTTACACACCAATTCGCGTGGAACCTGACAGGGGTCCTGGAACACCGTTTTCCTTTTAAAGGGACCCCCTGTCAGGTTCCATGTCAATTGGTGGGAGGCTTACCCGAAGGGCTACAGGTGATGCCCCCCCCCCCCAACACCCCAGAGCCCAAGTTCCACAAGGCCCGAACTTCTGAAAGCAGGTGTCCCCGCGCAGGAGCACCTCCGGAATGCAGTCACCCCCGGAAACCTTTCAGCCACAGAAACAAGGGCCTAAATAGCCAGACTGAAGTATTGGGGTACAACACATGAAACTTAGTCACGATTGTAGGAGAATAGTGGGTGTGACTATTTAGCCGCTGATGTTACTCACTTCCTGAGTGGATTAGTTAGGCAACCAAAACAAAACATGTTCGCCACTAAGATGATGATATCCACCAGAAATCCATGAGGGTCCAGGAACTTTGGGAGGCAGGTCTACCAGTAGGACGTCCAACAGAATCATTGGAGTGGTTGAAGCATGTTTGTTCCATGTGAATTGGCGGGAGAGTACCCTCCCACCAGCGAACATGGAAATGCACAGACCCCTGTAGAAAGACTACTTTCCTCTTGAAAAGGGCTGTTTTGCACAAACCCATGTTAGTTGCTGGGAGGGTAGCTACAAGCACTTTTCCTTGAGTGCAGCTCTTTTCTTTTTTTTCTCCAGGGGCTCTTGGGCTCCATCATGGGGGCGCGATCTGAGAATTTGATGGATGCCTCGCACGGATCGGCGAAAGCTGTGGGATCGGAGGCAAAACGGGAAGATTGGCCCGGAAGATGAGCAACACCTCTCTGACAGCATGGACGAGTGCTGGATTTTGAGATATTTCTTGCAAGAATGGCCTGCGGTGGCCGATCGCGGTGCGTGCGATTGTCGAAGCCTGCGGAAGGGATACGTGGGAATGTGCTTTTGTGGCATCTTTGTCGAAATATTAACTTTTTCGTGAAGATGGTTTTTTTTGCCGCCGTGCAAAAGGTGGTTCATGTCTTTTACTCTCAAAAAGAACGGCTTTTGCGCGCCATGTTAACTTTCCAGGGAAGAATTTGTTCTCAGGTAAGCCTTGACAGGAATGGAGCAGCTAAGAGGAAACCAGTTGGGCTTCGAAGTACCCTCCCACCATAAAGCACATGGAACCCAGCAGAGAGTCCCGTTTACAACGGCGCAACCCCCAGTCAGGTTCCACGTGAGCAGGGCACTCCTGATCCCTTTGGCTTGAGCTGGCATCTTCTTCCAAAACCTCAAGAAGTTGGCCCCCTAAAGGGACCTGCATGGGCGGAGTCGCTCGTGAAACCACCCTCGAATCGGTGAGCTCGCCCAGAAATAAATAGGCAAGGATCGCCAGTTGGGTCACCCTAAAGGATTCTAACACATGCGATCGATCGGATGCCACACGAATGACCGCCCTTTGGCGCACGCGATCAGAACCCGTTTATTAGAACTTGTTCAACGGGTCCCCTGAGTTCGCTGTGAATCAAAGCAGGGAACCACCTCACAACTCGGTGGAGATGAATCCTCACCTGAATGATGTCCACCAAAGGGTCCCCTATTGAAATTGACACCCATGTTGTTCTTCCCCCCCCCCACCCCACACCCGGAGAATAGGACCGGAGCGGGCTGCCTCCTCCTCGCCCGCCCGCGCGCAGCACATGGACCGGGGGTTCTCTGACAGGCCTCGGCTTGCGTCCGTCTCGCCCGTAGAGCCACATACCAAAACAGCCCGTGGGGCTTGTGGGCGCAAATGTGGATGTGCTGGGAGCTTCGGGGGGAGTTTGTCCCGCCAAAATCGGAATGTATAGGCTCCAAAGTGGTGGGAGGAAATCCCGATTTTCCGACCATCCGTAACGACATCCGACCCGGCGTTCTGCCAAAATACGGGCATCCCCGAAATGGGTGTGGCTTTCCTTTTTGGTTTGCGTTTGATCCCCTCGAAAACACCACGCAGAAATGGTGGTTTACTTGCACTCACTCTCACATCTGAGTGCCTCAGCAGTGAGCTGAGATGCGAAGGGACACGGGAAATTGAGCAGTATTTTGTGGGAAATTCAGGAAGTCCACAGCTTGTTGGTTGTTGCGAGCCGCCTGGTCTTTGGTGGCTGAAGTTTAGTGAGTGTCCGTCATGTCCCTTCCAAGCGGATCACTGAACCTGCAGCAAGCGTGAGGGTCACGACGACAAAGTGTTCTAACCTCTGGTCTGACGAGTTGGTTGCGCTCTCAAAAGCAAATGAATCGATGTAGTCCCAAACCTTCAACAGAAAGAAAGGCATCTGCTTTGGAGTAGTTGTTTTTTCAGGGAAGCCCCCTTCAAAACACGGACGCATGGAGAATAGTCAGTTCAGCCTGGGCCAGCCTGTGCTTGTTTTTGCTGCTGGGCTTTGCTTGTCGCTTCTGCTTCTCCGGCCGTGGCGGTGGTGGAGGCGGAGGCATCATGTCTGTGGCTGGCCGTGTTGTTCAACCAACTGCCAACTGTGCCCTCCGTAGCGGGCCTCCTTGATTTCGCCTGTACACATCATCCCATCCAAAGGAGACTCAACAAAATGTTTGAAACCAGCCTTTGAGGGGAAATCTAGGAGCCCTGCTTGGAGAACACTTGGCTGAAACGCTTTCGGTGCTGTTTTTTCATGGGACCAAAACAATCAAGTTGGATGCTTTGGCTGAGGCGTTTCCAAGCGAGCCTGAAACTTTGCGGCTTCCAATTTACCCCGCCTTCCCCAAACGCCGTGGAAAAGCGCAAAAAATCGCCGACTTCGGACTCGGGAGGCCCCAAACCAATCCGAGGAGTTGTTTTTGTGGAATGCAAGCCACATGGAGCTTGCAACACCTGGAGCCTGGTCCTCCGGAATCCGAAGCTGACAACGAACCAACCGGGGGGGTGTTTGACCACCCCCAAAGTGAAGGATTCCTTTTAGAATGGGATATTTTCTGTGAATCACGGGGTGATTGATCCCCCAGTTTATGGGGGGATGAACACCGCCGAATCCGACAAGGTCCTGGCTGGCCACGAAGGGGACCTCCTGTGCATCAAGGTGTGCGAAACGCAGCTGGCAGCTGGTCGCAAGTTGCCCTGAGCTCATACAACCCACTGAACCACAGGAGTTCTACCATCTAAGCGTCAACCGCAGTTTTAATGGTTGAAGCCTAGGGATTGCGATCGGCATCCGTACAACAATTCCAAAACCAGCAAGGGTTTTAAAATAGGCAGCTTCACAAACGAGCCACAATGAAAACTTGGTACTTGAAGGGTCTATCCAAACCAAGGTCAACCATTTCGCCGCCAGATGTTCGCACCTGGCAAGGGGACTGCTTCCTAACCTTCATCCACCTGGTTGTTGAGTGCGAAATGCGGCTTCGAAGACCTCCTAATTTGTCCCCTGTTGCGTTGCACTCTTGCAGATTTCACCTGCACAATTTACTAGAACTCCCAAACTGGAATTAAGGGAGAGCTCGAGGGCTTCACATACAGATTTTATGACATGGAATCTGCAACCCAAAAAACCATCGCTTCTCCAGGAATCTCCTTTTGGGGAGGGGGGAAACCCTTTTGCGGGAACCCCTTTTCTGGGTTCCATGTTTCATCTCCACAGGAGTAGCCTGTTTAGTTGGCATGTCGGTGATTTGTTTGTTGCCAAATACCATTCTATTGACCCTGACGTGGCGATCAAGCGGCGTGGCGGCGCTTCAGGTAAGGCGCTGTTGGGTTCCTCAAAAATACAACACAACCCAAGGCTAAATCGGCCCGATGTTGGCCAAGCCCCTGCAACAGCCAAGGAACTGGTTGATCCAAATGTTCATCCGCTGCGCGTGTCTCCCCCGATGGCCTTCCTGGTCATTGACACCCATGGCAGCCACACTGGTTTCCCAGTGACAGGTCTGGCACAAATGAAACAATGGACACCCATTGATCAAGCCCTGGTTGAATAGAGGATGCCCCATGGGAAACCTTCATTTGATTCACCCCTCATCTAACACCAACCAAAACGCTCCCTCGTCCCCCAGAAAAGAAGGCGGTTCCCGTGCTCCCGCACTCCTCCTCACGGATGGGGTCCTCCTCAGGCCTGCGGTAGTCTCCTGGCATGGGGGGATTCCGCTCTCGGAACACGTGGCATTTAGGAATCCATGGGTTCCCTATCCAAGGTTCCCGTTTGGTTTATTTGCGGTCGAACCTTTCCGGTCTGCACAAAGCTTCCTCAAACGCACCTTATGAAAATGAGAATTCGAAACTAAAATTGGCCTTGAGTTGTTCACTGCCGGAGAACCATCAAGCGTTGACGAATATAATCCGCCGCTTCAGCGTCAGTCTACGACCCTGGCTGTACGCCAACAGTATTAAGAAACCAAAACATACCCCCCCGATCTAAACAACTTGCGAGACCTAAGTGATGCGCCTTGGACTCAGCCTGGGTGTCGTGGGAAACCCTCAACTCGAAAAGATTGGCAACAGGGGATCGTCGTCCACATGTTACTCACCAGGAAACACCAAGCACCAGTTCCTTCATATGTTGAAACCACAAGATGTCACGCTTCCCATCCTTAAGAGCCCCTTCACTGGCCTAGAGGACCCGGAAAAAAACAGAAACCTGGAAAAAGGGTCGACTGAGCTTGCTCAACCCCGCCAATGCCCCGCTCAGGGACGACCTCGCCTTGCCGCGAAAGGCGATCCTGGCTCTTTGGAAAGTCGCAAGGGCGGAGCCCAGTGGCCCCGTGGCATGTCGTGCTGCCGTTCTAGGTCGCTCTTTCTGGCCCCGCAACTTTCCCCGTAACCCAAGTGTCAGAACGGGAAACGACCCGCATTGGCTTTGAGCTTCAGGGAACGCCAGGGAGGCCGTGAAGAGCAAAAGCCGCCTGCGCTGGGCGTCTTCCCGGCTCTGTGGAAGCGCGTTAGGGACTCATGAGCCTGAAGTCGGTCGTCTAAACCGATCAGCGCCATGGTCAAAACTCGGGCTGTGCTTCCCTAGACATCCGCATCGCTGTCCAAGATAGGTATCCGCAACCATCCCTCCAACCACAGGAAATTTGGACCATAGCAGTTTGAAGATACGAGCTCGTGGGCGACAGAAGCAGGTTGACAATGCTACAAGTATATCTTGCCTGGCTGCTATGGCTCATTGATGAAACGCACCTTACTTAGCGAACAGCAGAAGCCATTAGGCACAAGCCTGAATACAACTTTCAGCGACGGATATCTTGGTCTGGACAGCAATTTGCGCTTTTGCAGGGTACCCAAAGGAGAACCAGAAGGACAGCACCAGTGTCCTCCTATTTTGACACATACCAATCGGGTGTGAACTTTCACGGGGGACACTATTTGGTCCACATCATTCAATCATATAGGTGGGGATTCATGTCTTCCAACTACTTTTGAGGTGCTGCCAGAAGAAGAAAAAAACCGTGGCTTGTACTTAGCAAGGAGCAAACCCCTCGCCCTCCTCGATCGAGACTGAGGAGATTCGAGAGCGGCTGCGCGACTGGGTCTTGATGATGGTGTCCTCAGTCCGGAGCCAAGTGCCGCTTCGAGACCGCCAGTCTGGGCTCCCTACATGGCTGTCTCTCCTCTTTTTTGTTTAAGGGCACCGGCTGTTGGTTGGTTGGGTTTTAGAGGGAACCCAAAAGCAAAACCACCAATTTGGGGGGGTCGCTCAAGAAAGACACACCCACATCTCCCCTTTGAAGTGACAAGCAAACTCACTGTGCAATGGACAGAAAGAGCCATGCCGCATGTCAAAGGTGGATTCTGTGTGCTAGCCCTTTGAACAGTGGGGCGGTAACCAAAAAACCCGAGGCTTCTTCTTTTGAGGCCGAAAGAGCCATGCATGTCAAAGGTGGATTCTGTGCGCTAGCCCTTTGAACAAGCAAGCGGCAACCCAAAAACCCGAGGCCAAAAGACATGCCCGCGCCCAGTCCTGAAGCTTCCCAAGCAGTCCAACATGAAGCTGGGGGGCCAACATCACTGGCGCGCAAAACTCGTGACCCTCCAATGTGGGGAGGGAGCGTTCAAAATGAGGGACCGCCTGGCCCGACTTGCTGTCCCCCTGCGAAACGTTTCGCCGGTGTTCTGCAAAGGAAAGGAGGAAACCAAGGAACCCAAAAGAGCAAAAGGGTAAAAACAAATGTGACTTTACTCTGTGTTTTGCATGCGCGAAAGGCTGCATGAAACTGCAACAAATCATAGAACCAAATTGACAACTGCCCGCAGGCCAAACAAGTTGAAAACAAAACCATTCTTGGGACACAGCTTGCGGCACCGGTTGGGGCCTGTTGTGTTTCTCCCCGGAA